CCTGAGAAGAACAGAGGTTTCGCTGCATCAGTGAAATGCTCCGACAGTAGTACTGGACAAAAATATCAGCTTACAATCTATCCTGCTAGGAGCTCCACGACTCGTGCGGTCCCAGCCCTATCACTCTCCACCTTCCCAAGCTGACAGCGGTGAGACACACGACACACCCATGCTGGTGACACGCAAACTCAACAGCCTCCTTGCTTTCTGCATTGAAATCCAACGGGATAACTTGACCTCCAAATACAGCATCTTTCATCTTCAGCTTCCCGGCTCCAAGGGAAGAGAAGTACCTTGCTAAGCTCAGCTCCCATGGAAGAGCACAAATGGAGGAGATCCTGGTTAGCCAGGTCGTCGTAGTCCTGTCTCGCAGGCCTGCGTCATGAGGCTATTATAGCCTTGATACTCGTGACTGCCATGCTGAAGCTGCAAGATGATTCTCAGTATCAAAATTACTATCTTGCATGACAGCAGGGTCAACACAGAGCACTAAAGCTTCTACATGAGTTATCTACACAGAAGACTTTGCAGTGTGTTGTGACACTACAAATCACACAACATAAATCAGCAGTGGGTGCATCGATCAAAACAGCAGCCCGAGCGCCAGGAGGCTGGGCAGGACTGGGAAGGGAACACTCAGTCACCCTCTCTGCCACTCCGCCACGCTGGCGGCCAGGCTTCAGCCCTGGCAATCTGTCAAGGGGCAGCTGGCTGCTGAGAAAACCCTGCCGCCAATCCCGGGCGATTCAATTCCAGGAATCCAAAGCAGAATCTTCTCAGCTGATCTCAGTGACAGCAGCAGCGAGCAAGGATTAACCTCAGAACGGAGGGAAAGTTCATCGTGAACAACCACCCCACTGGAGCGTTTCAGGTCATCTCCAACCCAGAAGTTTCACGTGGAAATCGACTCCCTGGAACCCTGCTTTTGTTTCAGCATCACCAAGCAGGAGATCACCTGTTTTCTGGGCCAAAGAACAGCCTGAAAATCAGGCAGAAGTTCAGATGGGGAT